TTTTATATCATCGTGAAAACACGTAACAATTTTGGATTTTTCCTCACTGTAGGTTTACGGTCGTAGACATCGACCCGTACGGCACCGCTAGTCCCTTTCTTGATGCTGCCGTTCAGTGTCTTCATGATGGAGGTCTATTGTGTGTAACCTCCACTGATATGGCTGTTTTGTGTGGGAGCAGTCCGGGTACCTCGATGGGCAAGTATGGTGGACTGGCTATAAAGAATGGTTCACCCCATGAAACGGTAAGTGGCGTACTTTTTCTATTACAAGCTATTATGCAGTGAACGGCAGCAGGTGTATCCTTAAAAATTATGAAACTAAGATTTTCACCTATGTCAACTGGCAGTCTCAGTCCTGTCACTAGGATTTCGCGTACCGTACTAAGTATCGGTAGGGTGAGGTTAGTATCGAACCGGATAATGACTTGACTGACCACCGGAAAGTCGGAGTTAGGCGCGATTGTTTTGGCGAACTCCACCAGTATACAATTGACAACAGTAGTACTGCGTCCACCACTACGAGAACCGTGATCGGGGCAAGATAATACAAAACTTCTGGGATTTGTCGCCTTTCCTGTTTCCTCTAGTCCTTATTTATAAATGTTGTAAGCTGACTGCTTTAACGTAGCCACAGACTATCATCTCATTCCTTTGTATCGCTCACATCTTGGCTTCGGTTCACTACTTGGTCACTACTTTGGACTAACATCCTTCTTCCTGTGTATTTCTCAAGCCCGCACACAGGCGGCACATCAGTTCGAAACACCATTTTCCCTGTTCACCTTCCCTCTTTTCCACAACCTTAAAATGAAAAAGGGCAAATTGGTTTTGGCCTGACTGTTTCTCATCAGTTTCCACTTTTGAACAGGAGACCTTCAGATTGTGGGATTTTCAGCGGTCTCCTGTAATAACTGTTTGTTTTGATGTACTTAATTGTCTAGACTGTACGCGTCACCCGGGTCCCAAGAGATTTGTGAAATAAGATACACGGGTTTGTTTAGAAAAAACCTCTTGTTGCGATTTACACAATTTAATAAATCGATTTTTCACACGGAGGCAGTTTGGGTTGCGAGCTGGTCTGACGGTGGCTAATACGGTGCCTTAAGGATATCACTGGTCGCCGTTTTTCATCGAGCTTACAAATCTTTGAGGCAACATCCCCCGTCTGAGTTCACCGAAAGGTCCTGTAGTTCTTAATGAAACAGAGACAAACATTTTTGATTGCAATCAGATTCGATGAAATATCCGTGACGTCCTTGGTCAAGATTCATTTGTACTACTGTCTTGTTACGCGCTTCAACCAAATCTAGTCTTTAAAGGACGAGTCACCCTCGCTGTCACCGGCGTGCTTTGGACCCTATAGTCTGAGGTTCGAGCCCCGCCACCGCCACCCAACTTTAGTAGTAGGCAACTT